ATCGGACCAGAAACTGTCATTGGCATCGCTTTAGGCTAAGCCAAACATAGATTGAACGCCTGGATGGCAAGAAGATTCATGGACTTCTGGCAGAATCTTCCAGGAATGGCTAATTCCAAGGCGTTTATTCACCCTTCGAAGCTTGATACCAAAAAGTTGTTGGACTAGTGTAAGGATGAACTACGATATCTATCAGGCTTTCTCACAGGTCAATGTCATCTGAATCATCATATGCAGAGATTCGGACTGTCGGAAGACAGTATGTGTCACCTCTGTTTGGAAAATGATGAAACAGCAGAGCACATACTTTGTGCCCGCCCTGCTGGGGACCGAATCAGGTTTTTGAGTTCGGCAGAGCCGAACCATACAAACACTCACCATACAAACTAATTGGCTTCGTTAAGAATCTGGGTTTATTTGGTCGAGTGTGAATAGGTGTGAGCGACAATAAACCCTTGCGGGTTGCGGTGAAGGGTCAAATACACCCACTTACTTTGGACCTAACCTAAACTAACCTAGCCTTAGAATGATTTTCATGGCACTGACGGTATGATGCTAATGGCAAGGGAAATAGCCAGGCAAGCCAATCTCTGCATAACAGATAACATCACCTGAGCCATTTGCTGTATAGCCACTAAGAAATTGCTCCTTACGTAATTATTGTTCGATAATTCTCTCATACATCAAATTGATTCATTTGGGCGATGAGTCACAAGATTTTCCACAAACTTTTTGACATGATTATATGGACATGTCGAAACAGCAGAAATGACAATGATATTTGTATAAGATTTATTTTATACAATTCAATAATAAGTACATTTTAACAAAATTCAATAAATCTCTTTTATAAAATTGGCAATCAATATTGAAAAATTGAAATTAGAAAAACTTTCAATTCAAATTTGTCAACATCGTGACAGAACTGAAAACTTCATCGCATAATAATTATACATGGAACATTCAACATGGAGGTCACATCGTTAGTAACTAACAGTCAATATTCTCGAAAAATTCGAAAAGCTACCAGAGAAAAAATATATCTAACGAGAATTTTCATCAGTTTGGAAAATAATTCCTTTTTATAATTCTGGCACTTCCAAATCTAATTGGTAACTTTTTTGTAACTTGAAAGCCTATTAACAAAATAACCCTTTTATGAAATGAATAATTTATCGATACATTTTGATTTTCATGTGATGAAATCGGTATAATAAGTCTTTTGTGTATTGATTAAACATAGTGTTTTGTGAAAATGTTGTAGATGTTCATATTCTCTGGAAGCTTTATTCAAAAATGTCATCTCGTATTACCTATTAATGGAAAAAATATTGTTTTTCATCTCAATCTCAATAGCAATCTGAGCCATACTAAGACCATTCAGTTAAATATATAATTTATAACGTGAAAAACTAGTCTCTTTCCATTTTCAGGAGTAAAGCTAAATTTCCATTTCAACCAAATATTGTCAACTCTAACATGAATCACACATTCGGGATGAATCTAAATATCGAAGACCCGTTGAAATATCCCGCGATACTGAATCGGAAGTAATTTTTCGAAGCAATCGGTTGTTAATTTTTTTTTCAGTTTTTGGGATAATGCAACGGGTGCACACTTAGTACAAACAATCTAAAACATTAACAACTCTTCAAAATTCATACATGACATGTAGATATGTCTGAAGAATATGAATTATAGGTGGTTGATAAAGATAGTAATGGTTTACATTTCACATAAATAAAAAGCAAAGTCTTTCGTTTATTTTCTCAGTTGAGTTTATCATGGACATATATAGAATGCTTCAAAACTTGTTTGGAGAGGCGGGTTTTTTCAAGTCTGTGATTATTGTATTGAAGATTTTTCACTCATTAAGGTTTCTGAGATGGGGAATTGGTGAATTGTTCACTCTAGAAGTCTGTTGAGAAATTGAAGAATACTATAAGTTAGGCTGTAAAAACAGTTGTTTGTATATTCATTGTATCACAGCTATTTTCTCTGTTTGACATTTCATTCATTTTTCAATTTCTATTTCATTTCTTCGCAAAATTTTTGAATTTGGTGAAACTATAATGAAAGTCCGAACATTCACTAAGAGACAATGTCAACCACATTAAAAAATCCTATCTAATCAAATTTTGAAACAATCTCTGTACTGCATCTTGAAAAGTACTCTTTAGCAAATATAATTTATTCTATAACATTTCATAATATTTTCTTAGTTTATTAAAATTTATCACTATTTTTAAAATATATCATTATCTGTATGAGCTTTCATATAAAAAACAATCAAGAACGTTTAATGTTCTAATGATAACAGTGGAAGTAATGATTATTTTCATGAAGTTTCCTTTGTCCCATGTATAGTCTTTTTTTTGTAGTGACTATGACGATTTTGAGGTTTCATCTATGATTTTTTTTGCTTTGCTTAATATGTTTCCATTCTTTTTTTTGAGACTGTATTTAGACTGTATATTGGTACAAATTGGACATGGAATGAGACTCGTACCATCGGAAAAAATGATTTTCAAAATTTTAACAATTTAACGCTGTTTTTTATGAATATCTCTTGATTTAAGCATTACAAATTCAAAACCTTCGGTTTGGGCTGATGCCATTCTGTGTATTTGGACTTTTAAAAGTGTTATTGAGTTAATATGAACATTTTGAATCAACTTACACTGTTACGTTACAAACAGGGTTACAATGTACATTACAATTTTGTATATTGATTACTTCGCCTGCTAAGTTCAACCTGTCATTTCATTTTGGATATTTCATTCATCGAACTCGCACAACGATAATAGTTTATAGATATTCATAGAGAAATTATACTCTGGTGAATCATAAAATGAATGCTGAACTATAAACAAAATTTAGAGTGTTTTATACAGGGTGATTCATAAAAACATATGCTGATATTCAAGCAGCTTTCATTATGTAAACTTCCGAAAGTTGCCTACCCAATTCAATTGTCATGTATTTGAGAGTCGTTGAAATAAACGATATCGTTTGGAACACGTACAATATAACGAATTCTGAGTTTGCAGACATGCATTATTTGTAAGAGTATAGGTGATGCACTGTAATTCAGACTGTTGTGTTGAAAATATTTTCAATATTCTGGATGCACGAACATTTTCAAAAATTCATGAATGGTTGTACGAAAGAAAAAAATTTGAATTCGTCAACCATCTATTAGGAGTACAATGTCCTGTACAATGTACAATTTTTTGGGTATTTTGAGTAAGCGCTTCAAAATATATCTATTTCCATATTGATTCCATGGATAAGAGTAGATATTGCTTATAGGGATTGCGTAGCTATCAAGGCTGTCCATATCCTTTGTTGGCTAGGGTGGATAATTCACCATGATCGTCATGGTTACATCATTTCCTCACATATCTTTCCCCATTCTTCCATATTTCTTGCTATTTCTCCTACGTTTTCAACTCCGGTACTTTTCAAGTTTTCCCTCACCTTTTTTGACTAGGTAGATCTAGGTCTTCCTTTTCATTTCCTCCTCCCTGGTTCTCAATCTTTCATCATTCTCACAACATTATGTTCTTTCATTCTTCACATGTGTCTCTGTCATCTGGTTCTTTGGTTTTTGATTTGTAAGACTTTGTCCCTCGCACATTTCTCGCTATCTTTCTGTTTGTTCTTCTTCTGTATTCCTTCACATCACCTCTAATTGGCCCCATCATTGTTCCCAGTATTCTTCTTTCTGCTACCCTTATGCCTTCTTCATTGACTCTGTTGCGTACATTATTGACGGTCTAATTATTCTTCCATACATTTTCATTTCAGTGTTATATGAGATTTCCTGACTTTTTAGTAGTTTCCAATTTGTATGTAGGTATATATGTTTGTTGGCTTTCATGAAATTCTCTTCTATCAACATTTCCCTTCCTATTGTGACCCAGTCGTTACAAAATCACACCAACTTGAAAATTGATTTTTGGATTCAATATATTGCCATGTACCAGTGGAAAGGATCTTCTTGAATCAAAAACTTTTTGTGGAAATTCTTCTGCTTCTACCACCACTCAACATTTTTTGTTTTGAATTCAAAGTGGAGTTTACATCAGTCGGAAAGAGTATCCTTACTAGCGTAATGAAGAAACAATTATAGAAGCCTGTGAGCATGAATACAGAATGGTTGGGGTGTCGTAACAGGTAATACGGCGATATTAGTTTGTCAGTGAGGTAAATTGAGAAATCATCAATTCGACTGGTAATTTTGCAACATCCTCAAAGAACATGTTTCAATTTATATTGAATTTACTGAAGACAAAAAATTTGTGCTAATGGATGATAATGCCTGGCGCCATGCAACAAGACCAGTGATCCAGTTTTCTGAAGATATTGAGTTTGTAGCGTTTTATTGCCTAGCAAAAAGAGCCTGATGAAAAGTGGAAACTCATTAGAAAGTTCGATGAAGAACCCTGATTTTCTCATCAAAAATGACTTAAATTCTACATTTGAATTAAGATATACTCCAAACAATTGAATATTTGGTTACAATTATATCGTTGACATTATTGGATTTTTGTATGTTGTTCAAGTATTGAATGTCAATAAAACATACACGGGTTGGAATAGTACTGTTCTCTAAGTCTAAATTTATAATATGAATAAGGAGGTATATAATGTAGGGTGGATATTTTTTATCGTTTCTGTAGTTGTAGTAAGTCCGTCTGGACCTGCAGAGCAGTTATTCTTAACCTTGGATATAAGTATGATTTTTTCATTTTCAGTTACAAGTTCAAAAAATATAGATGCATTTACGTGGATGTCAACAAGGAAATTATCAGGTATATTTGAGTACTCATTTTTTTGTCCATTTCAGTGCCAATGTTAGCGAAAAAGTTATTGAATAAATTGCCTTTTTTTCATTTTCTATCACATTTTCTCCATGTTCATTGTGTATGATGTTATTCTCTAAGGACTCTTTATTCGTTTTATTAGATATTATTTCATTAATAATTTTCCATGTGTTTTGGGATCACCTTTTATAATTTTTATACTATACTATACCATATAGTATACTATTTCAAAAATAGTAGCTGGTGAAATAGAATTATCTCAGCAGGGAACATGCCAACTTATATTTTTGTACAAACTAAAATAACTCGACTGAAACAATAATTTGTCAACAGATCAATTGAACTTTGCAGGCGAAGTAGACGGGAGACTTTTTCTATCCGCCCTACATGCTTGAATTCATCACTGTATAAAAAAGTCTAGTTGGTCGAAAAAGTTCCTAACCGAAGCTTGCCCGTTCATGCCCAAGACGACGGCGGATCCCGGAAGCCAAGGGGTGCGTGTCATATCGATGTGTCGAATACGTTCATGGAAGAGGATATGGATTCGTCCTTCTGACAGCATTCCAGGAATTCGTCGAGTGTCACGACACCGTCTCTGTTTTTGTCCATTTTCTGAAAGTAAAAATTGAAAATCAAGAAAAATTTTCACATTCCACAGTGCGAAGTAGAATTCGGGAAATTCCGGTAAACATTGTACTTGCAAAATATCGTTCATATGATGGTTTTTGTGATACATATCCAGTTGTATCAAAATAGTTTTAGATTGCATAATGGGATGATGATAAAAATATGATCACTTCTGTTCCTGGATGTCATACATGAAATATTTGATGAATTGTTGAATTTCAAAAATATTTCAGTAACATTATTTTCCGGATTTGAAGGCTGTGGATTTCTTCCTGACGTTTAGCTGGCGCCAGAGGCTACCTACCCTCCTCGAAGACATTAACAATTTCATCTTAGCTAATGAGAATACGCATTTCCTTATTTGATGGAAGTTGGGTGTTCCACAAGGTTCCGGTCGGATGTCAAGAAAATTGCAAGAAATTTAGGGCCATAAGAAAATACATGGGATTTTGTGCCAGAACCGGTATTGTTCATCTACTGAATATCAAAGTAACACTTCAGTGTGATATTTCCACTAGACAGTTTACAAATTCGCAACAAGTGTCTTGCTATATTACTATACAATAGCAACTATACAATAGTTTTCATACTGACTGAACTCCACTCAATCTGTGCTTCATATACTAACAATTTGAATCATGTGGTATCCAAGATAATTTCTAATAACTTCACCTGAGAAAATTATTGAATAAAAATGTACAACATAACAACAATTTGAATCATATGACCACTTAATGACTAATTATTTCACCAGAGTTTGGATAAAAACTCATTGGAAATTCAAATGGATGTGTATTAGTTAATTGTCAGTTTGACTTCTGAAATTTCAGTGTGAAAGAAATTTTTGAGCAAAACTCATAAAAAAAGCGATTTATTTCCAACAGGAGTACCCAGTTATAATGTTAATTTACTGTCGTATGTTATACCAAGATCTTTTATCTCATGTACGCGGTTGATTGTAGTGTTGTTGATTGAATAATCGTACATTAAATTCCGCTTTTTTGTTTTAAATGATATTATTTTACATTTGGATACGTTAAGTTGTAGACGATTATTATTACACCAAAGTTTGATTACATCTAATTCATTTTGCACACGTTGGAAGTCAGTAATGTCGTCGATTTTATAATATAGTTTCAGGTCGTCTGCAAATAGTAGGCTATGAATATTCAAAGAGGTTGCCAAATCAATAATAAAAATTAAAAATGAAAGAGGTCCAAGACTGGAACCTTGTGGTACCCCAGATGTAACTACGTACTGAGCCGATTTGAAGGATTCATATTCAACGAATTGTTTTCTGTTATCTAGATATGATTCAATCCAATTCATGTAATATTCACTGAATGTATACCTTGAAATATCCTATGGTTATATGAGGTTGATACAACAGAAATATGGGAAGATTATTGGGTAGTTTCTGAAATTCTAGTTGGAGTTAACATTTATGATTCTCTATCATGAATAGGTGATGTTTCTTGAGAATGAAGCATCACCATAAGTAATTAACCACTTACCAATTTACACATTAGAAAACGAAGTCAGAAGAGGAGACGAATTCGATTCTATTTCATCATTCAGTAAATATAAGCACTCCAAAAAATTGAGTTCCAGATATTCCTCTTACAAATGTAATACTTCATAGTCGTGGTTAAACTCTCACATTCGAGAAAATACACTTATGTTCTTTCATTCTTTGGGAAAAAGGTCTTCTCGTTTGGCAAATAAGAAGTTTTGGGCAAGAACCATAAGTCATCCTATTTACTCCTGATGAAGATTTGTCTTCATTGTTTTTGATGAATTTGCTAAAGTTTTTATTTGTCTAGTAAGCCACGTTCAAGTGTGTCCTTTTCAAAAAATGGCCGATGTTAGTGGTGGCTTCACCAAAGTATGTTGATATTCTATGACACTGATTTATTGAAGTGTGGTAGACCTGGTAAATGGCTTGAATTTACCTTTTGACCATTGTTGAAAGTGAATTGTTTGATAAAATTCAGTTCTTTCTGAAAATTACTTTCTGACAGTGCTACGTCTAGAAAATGTATTGAAATTGTATACCTCCATTTTAGTGGTGATGGGTGAATGGAATTATCAAATTCGACAAACTTGTGCAATTGCCTACCTATACCAATAAAACAGACTGAGATATCATCTACGTATCTGTACCAGTATTGAAACCCAGTAATCATTTGATTATAATAAAGTGAATTTGCGGGTTGTCCATGAAAATTTCAGCTAACAAAGGACACAACGGGTTTCCCATTAGTAGCCCTCCGCTGCATGAATTAAACTTCAATTAAATTGAATTGATACACCGAAAACCTATTCCTAGTTACGCAAAATTTATATCGCTTGATGTCCAAAACTTATTTTCCAGTATTCCGTCAATTCAAATAATTGAACAGGTTGAGCGTTTCTTCTATACAGTGTGTAAAAGCCAAATGGAAAAAATTCGTTATTTCGGTTACTGTTAACTGGTTGACGGAAATAACACATTTCAAATATATATTCTAAACAGCTTCCTGAAAGAACGTTTCCTGTAAGTGACCGTTGACGGATATGTTTCGAATACTTTTGACAGTAACGCTGGTGTTCCCCAGGAATCATATTGTCTCCAACCCTCTCTTTACTCAAATGCTGTTTTTTTATTAGTTGGAAAAGGGATACAAAATGTGTTCGTAGATGAACAATTTAGTTTTTGCAAACGTTTCAAAATTTATTATAACCATCATCAGGGTCCAAACATTCGTTCATCCATGTTAAGAAAACGTTGAAAATATAAAAACAGACAACAAAGGTACGAAAACAAACGAAAATAAGGACTAACTACATGAAATCACAGACACCTCAACATCTTGGAGACATTGAAATGTTGAAGTACACGAAGTTGGTTACCGAAATTCTATAAAATACATTCAAAAACTAAAATGTACTGCAAAACATAATGAAATTTAGAATACGAAAAAGAACTATATATGTTAACGAAGTAGATGTTCAAAATGTTCACCGCGAACGTCTAGGCAACATCCTTATCTCAAATAAAACTGTCTTCTAACATTATTTAACATATCAGGCGTAACTGACCTAATCGCAAGCGGTGTTTGTTCCTTGGAGTCATTCAAATCTGAAGGTTTACTTTTGTACACATTGCTGTTTACAGAGAACTTTAATGATGAAAGATCAGGTGATCGCGCTGGCCACTCAATCGATCCTCGCCTCCCTATCCACCGATTAGGAAATATTGTATCGAGGTGTTGCCGGACATTAACTTGGTAATGTGGTGATGCTCCATCCTGCTGAAACCATATCGTATTCACTGGAACTTGAGGGTTTCCTAGATCTTGGAATGACATCGTTTTGTGGTGCCAAATAATTATCACATTTCAAGTTGCCCTCAATGAAAAAGGGATCAATGGTATAGTTTCCGACAATCCCTGCTCAAACGTTAACTTTTTGAGGGTATTGCGTGTGTTCTCCTCTCATCCAGTGAGGTTTTTCCGTTGACCAGTAGCGGCAATTTTGCGGATTAGTATGACCGTTAAGAGACAAAGTACACTCATCAGAAAACATAACGTCTTCTAATTGGTTGATATTGTTCTCCAACATGTCCATCATTAGCTCACAAAAATAAGTTTATCTATCGAAATCGTCTTCCATGAGTTCCTAAGTAGGTATCATTTCATAGGGATGCATTTTATTTTTTTTAATGTGTTTACTATCGATGTATGGCTAACATTGAATGTAGTGGATGCCTGTCTACTCGATATATGTGGGTTTTCCTCAAACTCAAGCATCACATTCAATTTGAATTCATCACTCATTGTATTGCCAGCTACTTGTTTTATCTGCCTCACATGACCAAGCTCGCGAAACGGCTTCTCTATTTTGCTTATTGTTCCTTGAGATATGTGCGGTAAATTAGTAAATTTCCCATGCAATAGGCGAGCTGCTTCCTGTTGTGTTCGGGTTTTATCTCCGTAACCAATCATCAACTGTTATTCCATTCATTTCCGTTAATCTAACCATTTGTCAGACTTGAAGTTGAGGAACTTTGAACTTAAATCAAAATAGTGACAACTAATGTTGTAACATACAAAATAAATTGGTAAGGCGTTTGAAACTAACGTTGCCAAGGAAATTATTTATAGTTTTTCAAAGAAAACCATCTAAAAAAAAATTGCTATGGTTTTTGCTTACTTTCTTATCATCAATACCCCAACATGAAATAAGTTTTGAGTATATTGCATTGAGTGTATTTTATCGAATTTCGGTAACCACATGATTTTGATTTATTTTATCTTATTTGTTGCAATAAACTTGAGAGCGATAACATTTATGGATAGAGAATGAAGCAGAGACCTCCTTTCGAACGATATATCACAATCCTATACTTTGTACCTGTAATTCGACGGGGGTTGAAGGAAGGGATAGCATTTTCCCGTTGAAGTATGTCAAATTATAATTTGAAAACCCAAAAATTTCAAGAAATAATATCTGAGTATGAATTATAGGTGGTCTGGAAAGTTCGCAGGCTAATACAGAGATGGCGCTACTGATATTAAATCCATATGATTTTTAGTCAATCGTAACCTACACATTCACAGTTGTCAGACGCAGTGGACACCCCAGTGGAAACATCAAAAAAATCCACAAAATAATTTCGGGTGACCGCAAAGTGAAGTTGATCGAGATATTAGCTGAGGCTCCAAAGATATTGAAGGAACGTGCTGGACATATCGTGAATGAATATTGGGGTATACGAAAGTTCTGCTCAAAGTGGGTGCCGCGTGAACCCACAACTAATCAAGAACAAAAATGAATTGTAGATTCTAAGCAGTGTTTGAAGCTGTTCCACCCCAAAAAACCCGAATTATGCGTCGATATGTGACAAGGGATGAAACATGGATGCATCATTTCACACCAGAATCAAAACGATCGTCATCTGAATGGACTACACGTGTTGAACCGCATCCGAAGCGTGCAAAGACGCAACAGTCGGCTGGAAGGTTATGGTATAAGTATTTTGGAATCCGTGTGATATTGTATTCATCAACTATCTTTAAAAGGGAAAACCATCATCAGCGACTATTACATAGCGTTATCGGAGCGTTTGAAGGACCAAATCGCAGAAACACATCAAGACAATGTACCTTGTCACAAATCAATGAAAACGGTGGCAAAATTGCATGAATGGGGTTCCGAATTGCTTTCGCATTCACCGTATTCTCCAGATCTGACCTACATCGACTATTTTCTGTTCTCAGATATCAAGTTATTGCTCGCTGAAAAGGAATTTAGCACGGATGAAAAGGTAATCGTCGAAACTAATACCTATTTTGAAGCTGAAGAGGAATCGTACTATGAAAATGGTTGGAAAAATTGTATAAACGCTATAATCATTGTGTCGCCCTCGGAGGCAACTAACTATATTGAATTATCAAATCAAAATGTATCAATTTTTTTTTAGTTAGGTTACAAATTTTCAGTGATATTAACAATATCAAAAATCATAGAGAAAATCGTAAACCACCATATTCTCAAATATTTGGAAGGCTTCAACATCTTGAGCGATCATCAATATGGCTTTCGGAAACAAAGATCTACAGGACAGGAATAATGCAATCGAGGACCTCCCTGTAAATTTAGTTCAGGAGCGAGAGCTTCCCAACTCCCCAATTCCTGATCCAACAAGTAAATCTTAAAAAAAAAAGTTTGGTGGTGCAGTCAGGAAACGACTGAGTCGTCTTCTCAAGAGCGGGGTACCTTATAAAAACGCCTTGCACCAAATTCTTGAGCGGCGTACACAGAATCAGTATCAAGTGGGGAAACAAACTCCCCATCAGCAGGTTAGTAGTTGCGCTGAACTGATGATTCACCAAAACCAGAGGCGAAAAAGCCCTGCACGGTTGAATCTAAGGCATCGTCAGGTGTAGCTGACGTGCAAAAACCCTCATATGGAAAGGTTGTCGTGGATATCAAGGTGGGAATCTTGCAACTTGACTATCCGACTACCTCATTAACAGAGCATATACTTTGTGCCTGCCCCGCTGGGGGCCAAGTCAGGTCTTTAGAGTTCAGCAGAGCCGTACTCTTACCATCTGACCTGAAAGATCACTTAACATACAAACTGATCGGCTTCGTTAAGAAGCTGGGTTTATTTGGCCGAGTGTGAATAGGTGTGAGCCACAATAAACCCTTGTGGGTTGCAGTGGAGGGTCGAATAAATCCAATCACTTTGGACCTAACCTAACGCAATCGAGAAACATGGAGAGTCAAGAGCTGTTGCGCTTGATATTTCTAAGGCATTTGACCGTGTGTAGCATGAGTGTTTGCTGACCAAACTTCGATGATATGGCTAGTCGAAACATTTTTTGTATGACTCTACGATCGGTCGGTAGCCAGGCGGCTACCGACTTTGCTTTGTTCACTCTGTCAATCGGCCGATGTGTGAGTCGATGGTTCAAGCCGCAGACAAAACGCTCGATTTCCACTCGCTATCGTCCAACTTGTGTAAGGAATCACACGTTTAAAGGTAAGACCTCGATAGTCCTTAGCTTGCACAAGTTTCGACTTCCGAGGGTTGTCGTTCGTAGGGGTGCGATAGCTGGTTAACGGAAATAACACTTTTTGAATATATATTCTAAACAGCTTCCTGAAAGAATGTTTCCTGTAAGTGACCGTTGACGGATATGTTTCGAATACTTTCAACAGTAACGCTGGTGTTCCCCAGGAATCATATTGTCTGCAACCCTCTCTTTACTCAAATGCTGTTTTTTTATTAGTTGGAAAAGGAATAAAAAATGTGTTCGTAGATGAACAATTTAGTTTTTGCAAACGTTTCGGAATTTATTATAACCATCATCAGGGTCCAAACATTCGTTCATCCATGTTAAGAAAACGTTGGAAATATAAAAACAGACAACATAGGTACGAAAACAAATGAAAATAAGGACCAACTACATGAAATCACAGACATCTTAACATCTTGGAGACATTGAAATGTTGAAGTACACGAAGTCAAGGGTAAATGAACAATGTAATACTAAGAATGTAACAAAAGGAACTAGCCGCAAAACAAATGAAATATTCGAAAAAAAGAACAAAGACAATAATTTTAGCAGGCCACTGTTCACTTTGTTATAGACAATCAACTTCAATAAAATAATAATTGTAACTGAATATCTGAGGTGACCTACAGAAGATATTAAGGTCAAGTGATGTTCATCTCCTGAATCTCCTGATGACACTACCATCACGAGTAATTTTATGGAATAGAAACACATCAGAGCAACCATGCAAAATGTTTCATTCTGCAAGCTCATGCGGCATAATACCACAAAAGGAAAAACCAACAAATAAACGAAGTTAAAGTTCGAAAAAAAATGAAAATACTGGGAAATATTCTTTCATGAACACAATTACCAGAAGCATTCGTGTTTCACATGTTTGCCTACAATTTTTTGCACAGGGGAATGCGCTGATATACTATATTACATCCATAATTTATGACTTTGCAATTTCACAGTGGAATGCATGTTTGAGAATGAATAACCTTTTTGTGACATGAGGTCAGATTGGAAATGTGTGCCTAAGATAAGTTCAGAGTTATTGCAAAACGAATTGCTAGCATATCCGCAAACATGCTCGTTGATTAACTTCGTTTCCGATTTTCGTTGACGGAGGAGACAAAAACGGCCTGAATTGAATGAAGAGAGATAATTTTGTATAGGGAGGGACCTTGGAGTAGGCGACACTTTGGTTTACTTGATGAAATTTAATAACAGTATCCATAATAATAATTAAAGAATTTTCATGATAGATTTAATTTGAAACGTGTTTTGTTACACAGTAGGTTCATCAGTTACTGGTATAGTACTGATGAAGCCACCATGTAGCGGAACGTGTGGTTTATACTTTATATATTAGCTACTACCTAGGCTAAATTTATGTGAGAATATCACATGTAATTCTCAAATCTACGAAGATCGTATTTGAATCATCGTAGTCTATATGTCGAGTATGAAGGTGAAAAATTGGATGTATTTTTCGCACAAACAGGGGTTCTTCAAGGATCTAATTTGGACCCCCTCCAAAAGTGGTGTAATGAGAACAAACTCTTTTTCGATGCTGAAAAATGTAAAATTATGGCCTATGCTCGAATATTTAATCCGTACCAGTTCAATCATTCAGTTGATAATATCGACTTACCAAGGGTTGGTGATACTCCCGACTTAGGAATTTTAATCCGCAATAAATTTATATTTGAAGCGCACATTGAAAATAGTATTGTAGTTCTGTCAAGAATCCTTATCAACCGAAATACATTGATGCTTTGGAAGAAAGAAATTCTTCAATTTCGCTTATAAGAAACATAGGTATTTTTCGGCTAGAAATTATGAATACATTTGTCTTCTGAATGAATTCAATTCTGTAACGCTGAGAAAAAGACGAGAAATTGCAGATCTCATATTCTTTTATGAACTGGTCAACGCTGCTATGGACTCACCAACTCTATTGTCCCCCGTGTTAGGAATCACACGCTAAAAGGTAAGACCTCGTTAGTCCTTAGCTCGCACAACGGATAACGGAAACGGAAAAACAGATTTTAAACAGATTTAAACATTAATTTTATTGTCCCTCGGTATACGTTCCGATCAAATGTCACATTCCGCAAAAATGTACTCAATTTTCAACACCATTTCCACAGACCACTAACTTTATGTATATACCAAGATAACTCACGAGGTTCTGGACACAATTTCTAGTCAAAATATCAATTCGGTTCATCGCTGAAAATACTTTATCAAACAATTAGTTGAACATAGAGGCAACGAGAGGTTCAATTTTAATTTTTCAGAACTCTATGGTACACAATAACTTCAAGATTGTTAACCATCGCGTCAGTTACTTTGGCTCATTTCCTCAACAACAATAACACTTTATATGCAGTTATTGCATAGCCACTCACCTGGAATATCCTGTCTACTTTTTCTTTTATTGTATCTTCTTCGATACTAGGATCTGCTAGCTTGCCCATGAGTTCGTAAATCGCCGTAACGATATCTGTCATTTCTTCTCTTGTTATGCATCCATCTCCATTGATGTCGTACAATGTGAAAGCCCATCGGAGCTTCTCTTCCAAAGAACCTCTGGAGAGAATAGACAAGTTTTGCACAAAATCCTGAAAAAACATAACCCAATGAAATTCATTCTCAAAATACAGAAACAGAACAACTTCAACAACACATGTTCGAAGTGCACTGATAAGATCAATATTATACTGATTTATTTTCATAAATTGGATAATGAAATTGGTATTCTTAGCTCAAATATTATTATTCATTTTTCTACAGAAGGTGATACGTTCCAATATTATTTTTTCGTTATCATGGCGGCCATGAATATTAACTTTTGGATAGTACAGCTACTAGAAAGATGGACACCAATTATACTGTGACTGTCATATACTTGATCGAAGTAAAGTATGTGTAATACATTTAAGATGATGAAGCATCTCTGGTTCTGCTCACTTTTTCAAATTATTGCATTGATGAAGAAATTTGAAACTTTCAGTGACTCGACTTACCTGAACTCCATCTGTTAGATTTTTTTGAAGTGAGTTCTATCAGGTGAAATAAATGTCGCTATGAACTGAAGGCAATTTAATTTTAACGAAAAACTTTCTCTTGAATTGTTCAAATTTTCTGATGAAAAAATCTACATATATAAACCTTTCAACTATTGGTTTACTAACTCAGGATGGCATGAGATGAAAGTTACATTAGAAAACATATACATGTTGTAGCAGTGCTATAAAATACAGAAATCCGATTGAACCGACGTTTTGTAATTAGAAAACATATACATGTTGTAGCAGTGCTATAAAATACAGAAATCCGATTGAACCGACGTTTTGTACTTTGTAGCAGTGCTATAAAATACAGAAATCCAATTGAACCGACGTTTTGTACTTATAGGACGAAACTGCAGTAACGTTAGTTATAAATAAAAGTGGTAAAAAACATAGAAAGTTTCAATTCTTTTTTCTTCTTTATGATTTTCTACCACGTAGTAACGGCTACATCTATCAATTTAATGTACTATTGTTTTTTTCACTATCATACATATTGTGAACAATATAAATAATTTTGTCACCGCCTNTTTTAAGCAAATTTCTGGTAAAATTCTGACAAACTGTAGATCAGTTCACAACAGAATTTGCCAAGCAAAGCTATTTTTCGTTAGAGCAGTCGAATAAGAAAACCGATTGCCATAGTAAGGTTTTCCAATATTGTTCAGCTTTTTCAATTAAAAAAATTCTTGTCCCCCTAAATTTGACTCAAGTGATGTCCAATGCTATGCTATATATACGCGTCATTGGAGCAGTAAAAAAGGAAATTGATTATTATCGTTGACGAATGAATATTTTGGGATATTCCAGTTACTATGTATACTGTTACATGAAAAAGTGGGGAAATATTGAGGTACAATTTTTTACCTAGTTCACATTGTACTTTGGCAAGAAATTCTATGTGATATGGTCGAATATAATAATATCAAAACTCAACTTAAATGAATCATTACCAACTATGAAAGAGCAAAGGGCAACGTTGTTTGTGAACGACAGTTTCTACGCTCGGTGTGTGCTATGTTTAATTATTCATTATCGAGTTTATGTGTCAGTGGATGTTACATGTAGACTTGCAAAATGAGAGTTTTATTGCCCTGTCAGATAACTTCCAATCGTTTATTTTCCTGGTCTAAATATGCTTTGTTGCCAGACCACAATTAATTTTATTTTAATTTTAACATTTGATGTGACAGTTTTAGAAATTGTGGTAGATTTCAAAATGTGTACATATGAAATGTTCCACCTACTTCTCGTTACTCACCACAGGCTTTCATTCCATGAATATATCATTTCATTGTGAAAATTTTGAAAAGAAATTTAAATAACCAAATAATTAGGTATTACTTGAATATCAGTGAGACCAAATTGAAATGAATGAAACTTAATGGTTTTCTCTAGAAACTCAGATCAAAATAATATACACTCAGTGAAGAACAAGATATCAACACTATAGTTATCGATACTAATGAAAGGAAATCAAAAAGTGGAGAGGCTTGCAATATTTCATTCCTCGCAGAAAATTCAAATCAGTATCAGAGTTTGAAAATCTGGTGAACGTTTTATACTTGAACAACAAATATTCTGCAGAAATAGTAATCATTCGGTAAAGAGATGATTCGAAATACTGAAAAATTATAATAAAAAATTACTGATCTTCATTCTAAAATAACCACTTTTGTTACCTCAACAAAAGATGTAGAAAAAAAATATTAATGCTGTAGTTATACGATAACAAATATGATGAATGAAAATCTTCTCGAGTTGTGATGTTGAAGGTATCTCACTGAACAGTGGACAGGAAAGAGAGAACGTGAGTCTCACCAGGGGCAGTTGTATCTAACGGGACAAGTGGAAAGAACAGTTACTTAGACAAGAGTGTCTTATTTCTAGGATTTACATAGTGTATGATCTCAATAACGAANTTCGAGTTATATTAAGGAAATTACGTACAGCGCCATCTGCCCGCGAATAGATCAAGCAATAATGTCGACATATAAAGGAGGTTACATTCAGCGCCATCTGCCCGCGAATATATCAAGCAATAATGTCGAATATTTCGCCAAATATAGATCCCGAGCTTGAGAGTTACAAACAAACAAACATACATACAGGTGAATCTAATATAAAGCGTGTGAAAAGTAAATGCAAGTCAACAGATACTTGAACATTTTGACATCTTCAGCGATTCTTAATGTGAATAACAAAAAAAGTTAGGGAGGATACGGAGACAAGTATATATTTTGCCCGCAACTTTGAAGCGCACCAGGAGTTTGAGAGTTTTTCATGTCGGTGACATTTTATTCAATGCTTTTTCATACCCTAAAATAGAGTTTTTCCAATCACCAGAAATACAATACTTACTCTACGTGTTCGTTTTCATCTGCTGAAAGCGTGTAAAAATATTTTCAATATTTCAATGTTTCAATTCAACCTGTCGAATAACATGTGTTTATATCAGTTGGAATTACTTTTCAGATGAATTACTGGAAATTAGTATTACATTGTTATTAAACTGAAGGTAGAATATTTTTGGAAGAGATTAGTTTTTTGTTGGAAAGCTTCTTGTACTTTTCCTTTTTATATAAAAAATGACGAGAATTTTCGAAGAGACGAACAAAGCAATTACGTTCCAAATAGAGTATTTACAAAGATGCAAAGATCATGTACAGAAGTTCCTTCTATGAAGAAATTGAAAAAAAAAAATTTCGAAATCACAACTCCCACATGAACATTTAATTACATAAATTTTTTTTTCAATTCAGTTTATACTCTAAAAATTCGTTATGATATTGAAACCGATGTCATTCATAGAAACGCTACACAACGCAATATATGAGAGCATTATTGTATAAAATAAGTAAAAAAATATGGTAATCGGTTTTATTGAAGGAAAACAGAAAATAATGATGTAGATTATGTATTTCATTTTCATATTTTTTTTAACCAGCTGTCGCACCCCTACGAACGACAACCGTCAGAAGTCGAAACTTGTGCGAGCTAAGGATTAACGAGGTCTTACCTTTTTAACATGTGATTCCTAACACGGGTTGGACGATAGCAAGTGAAGATCGATTGTTCAGACTAGGACTTGAACCACCGACCAACACGCCAGTCAATTCGAGTGAGTGAACAAATCACCCACGCCGAACCGCTTGGCTACCGACCGATACCCATATTGAGGTATGTTTGAAGGTGATTGACAATTTTTCATGATGTAACATTTCCCTTCCTATTGTGACCCAGTCGTTACAAAATCACACCAACTTGAAAATTGATTTTTGGATTCAATATATTGCCATGTACCAGTGGAAAGGATCTTCTTGAATCAAAAACTTTTTGTGGAAATTCTTCTGCTTCTACCACCACTCAACATTTTTTGTTTTGAATTCAAAGTGGAGTTTACATCAGTCGGAAAGAGTATCCTTACTAGCGTAATGAAGAAACAATTATAGAAGCCTGTGAGCATGAATACAGAATGGTTGGGGTGTCGTAACAGGTAATACGGCGATATTAGTTTGTCAGTGAGGTAAATTGAGAAATCATCAATTCGACTGGTAATTTTGCAACATCCTCAAAGAACATGTTTCAATTTATATTGAATTTACTGAAGACAAAAAATTTGTGCTAATGGATGATAATGCCTGGCGCCATGCAACAAGACCAGTGATCCAGTTTCCTGAAGATATTGAGTTTGTAGCGTTTTATTGCCTGATTTTCTCATCAAAAATGACTCAAATTCTACATTTGAATTAAGATATACTCCAAGCAATTGTATATTTGGTTACAATTCAATCGTTGACATTAATGGATTTTCATATGTTGTTCAAGTATTGAATGTTAATATAAAATACATGGGTAATAAGTTGAGTTCCGGTGAAGTCATGCTTGTTTTGAGGTTTTATGTAGATAATTGAAAGTAGACCAGTAAGTATATAAGAGAGAATATAAATTACTGGAGAAACACTCATAAAAGTTGAAATATATGAAATTACGTCAGAGAAATAAATTAATCTTGTCAGTTAATTTCGGAGAAAAGTTTGAATCTTATAATGCTATCTACCAAATCTTTGTAATCAAATAAATATTCAGTAATAATTCTTTGATTTGACATTGTGGTTGAAATTCAATAATTATTGTTCACTTTAATGAAATTAATGAAAACACTTTTGTCTAATTACCACTAGTCAATTTTATTTATACGACCGGTTTCGGGTTTAACCCTATTATCAAGTATAACACTGTTGATTATGGGATTAAACTCTCGAGACACACCAATAAATAGGATTGAGGGTGTTTACCGATTTTAACTTGTTAGGTTCTACCACTGAGATAATGTTGAGAAAGTTGTAGGGATATTTAACTAATACCATATCTTTCAATTTTTTTCAACAGTGCTTTACGAGACACAGTGTCAAATGCTTTGACCAAGTCTATAAAAATCGCTAAACACTTAGATGATTTGTCAAGAGAAGTTATTATTTCTTTTGTAAGATCTAAGATAGCATTTTCAGTATTAGAATTCTGTGTGAAGCTGTCTTGACGTTCTGTTATGACATGATGCT